ACTGATGATAGAAGGCTGACATTTCATATGCCATGCATTTGATTCAAGCCGGATCATTTGACATCAACCACGTTTTCAGGTCAGGTCACTTAATCTTGGCGTCGGAAATGATCTAAAATTATACCTCAACTCTCAAGCACTTCAAATCGTGACTTAATACATTCTTGGCAAGGTCTAATGCTTCACTTTTGCATTGTTCACCTTGCGTGACGTCATTTATGACGTCACTAGGGTGATAGGAGTGCTTCGTCAATGACTCCCGATCAAAATGAGCTAGCCAGTCGGGACAGCCATCAATGGACTTTGCAAGACTTGCCGAATCAAATGTTTGCAACATGTCCTCCTTTCAACAGCTTCGTGACCTGTGTTGCCCTAACATGACATTGACCTCAGGTAAACATCCTAAATTGCTTCACCTAAACAAAAAAGCATGTAAATCGACGCGTCTGAAAACAGAAAACACGATTGTATCGAAAGGACGATAATGCGACAATTTTTGTGGTTATTTACCAAAAACCAATCGCATGCCTTGGGGCCCTTGACCTGCCCTAAGAGGTCACTGATATTTTAAAATGGGTACCAGTCGCTGCGTCACGTAACGAAGCAAACGCTCGTTTTTTCCGCGAGGCTCTAGCAGCTAGCTCAATTATAGGAGCTAAACATGGGGTTGGGGGATCGCTCCCTTCTCACTCACTATTTGGCCGGGATAGTGTTTGCAATTATTGTTAAAATCTAGCATTTTAAGATTTCAAATGACCCATTTTTCCCGCCCAAGTCTTTCAATTCAAGGGCATAACACCAGGTCACGTCAAGTGACCTTACCTCAAGGAAAGTTCCTGTGCTCATCAATCTAAATACACCGACTAAACGATCGCTTTAGAACTTTCAGCGATTTCAATGGGCAACACTATACCTATGTATTTGAAACGTTTACTTTGCAAGTTTGACATTGTTGACAGAAAGGCCGGGTCAATTTGGAGATCGTTCAAGGCAATGGGAGAAAATTGAACTGCGCTTTTTGGACGGAACGCATAAAAAACACTCTGAAAACATGTGGTGTTTGATGAGATACAATACTACATTTTCTCATTTACTACTGTAAATGAGAAAATTGTTTGTTTTGTTGGGAGCCATCTTTTTCGGTCTGAAAAGGCCATTGCAGAGCTATGACATAACTATGCTCTGGTGTAGTCAGGGGCGGATCCAGAAAATCTCCAAGGGAGGGGCCATTAGAAACCAGGAGGCCCCCCCCCCCATAATCCCACCTGTTGGAGGCCCCATCTTCCCACTTGTTGGGCCCCCCCCCAAAAAAAACTGCGTCTATTGAGCTTATCTAGCTGTTCAGGCAACATCTCAACATCTGTGCAGGCTTGGAGGCCCTCTGTGCAGGTTAGGAGGCCCTGTAAAAGTGGTCATCTCTGTGAGTATAAGAGACCTCCAAGTTATGAAAAGCTTTACCAATCTTCTAACAAAGAAGTCTTCTCAGCTAGTCTTCTAAGAAATAACTAAGTGGGTAGGTTAAAAAAAAAAACTCATCGGATTTCGGCCACTTTATTTTCAGGAGGCCCCCTTTTCAGCTTTTTAACTTTTTAACTTTTTATTTTATTTTTGAAAAAAATCGGCCAAGGGGGGGGGCCATGGCCCCCATGGCCCCCCCCCTTGTATCCGCGCCTGGGTGTAGTAATTAGGTTGTGCGAGCCAGCGACAGTGATCTGCGGAAGCGAGACTGTTCCCGTGGGACGATTGCCCTGTCGGGACGGTCCAGCCGTCTCCCAAACCGTCATCACGAAGAGGGTTATTTGTCCTGGAATCAGACATGTGCATGGATCCGAGAAAATGGATCTGGGATCTGATCCCACGGATCCTGATCTCGGATCCGTGGGGATCATAGATCCAGCTCTTTAATTTATCGAGAGATCCGTAGGGATCATAGATCCGAGTCTAGTATTGTTGCTTGAGATCCAGTGGGATCACAGAGCCTCATTTATTTTTGGTCAACACAGAACTCCCAAAGATCACTCGTTGCAACTCACAACGTTCTTATTTAGTGATTTAATGTGATAACACGTCATAATCCATAGTTGTATGGCACTTATTGACATAGAAACACTTGGAAACCTGGTTCCAAATGTTATGCATGGTGGGATCCACTCAGATCAAAGATCCATGTTCTTGGTTTATCCTCAGATCCTGGGAGATCATAGATCCAGGATACTTTTTTCACGCCGGATTCTGTGGGATCATAGATCCGAACCTGCAATTTGCCTCGAGATCCACTGAGATCATTGATCCATCACTCGGATCCATGCACATTTCTGCCTGGAATTGATCCGACATCAACTACAGGTTGGCTGGTGGGGTGACCTCCAGTCCAGAGAGGGAAGCATGAAGACTAGGCGAAGCGACAATATTATTTAGACATAGCGGTAAACGAGCTGATTGTTGTGTTAGGTTAGGCTCGGTCGATTTCAGAGTGGGAAGGATGACAGGAATTAGGGGGAGACAGGGGGCCTGGGCGGTGTTTCACGGCCCCACGCTGCAGCACGCTGCGCTGCGCTGCTGCATTGTTGCGGCGGTTGATATGAATTCGGCTCCACGCTAGCGTTGCGAGCCGACCCCCACCGGACACGATTTGGTAGCCGAGGTCTGTGACGTCAGCCGGGCGTGAAGTTTTCCCTTCACCATAGGCTTCACACACAAACCGGCCGAAGTTCATGCCAGGATAGCCCGGCTTGAAAGTGCAAAAATGATTAAATTTTGCCCTCAATAGATTCATTGCTTCATTTTATAACTAAAAACGTCCGTTATTAGGACTCAATGAAGGTAAAAAGTACTCAAAATCGAAGTTCAAGAAGATGCTGTCCGAGCACAATCTGGTAACATCACGTGACCTCTTTTAAGCAAAATGTATATAATTCAAGGATGTTATTACACGATTGCTGCTTAAAACATCATAAATAATACGCTTGTAACATTTATTGCTTCTGTTTAAGTCATAACATTGTAAAACGCAAAGTTTATCATGGAAGTCACGTGACCAAAGGTATAGCAGGGGTTGGGACAAGCACTCAAAGGATTTCAAGTTTTATAATTAAATTATATAAGTTTCATGATGAAATTGATAGAATGTATTTTTTCCGAATGAAATACAAATTTTCGTATGTAAAATATTTTTCTTATGGGCGAAATTCTCCATATAAGAAATGTCAGTGACGTCACCAGGGCTTTACGTGGGCTTTACTCAAAACATCGGACCTACCTGTTTCTTATAGGTATCTTGTTGCGAGCTTCCGAGTCTGTTGATGTTTCCATGGAAATTGGAAACCCAATGCACCGGTGCGCGCAACGCACCCTGTCCAAGCAAAATTTTACCACCGATGACCTCTGGTGACATGACCTCTGGTTCTGACCCGATCTTAAATTGGCTGAAGTATTTTTCTTTTTCTTTTTGCTACTTTTGACGCTACTTCGAATGCCACTTAAATGCCCAAAGCTGAGTTATAAGAATGATGCTCAATTCCCATTTCCCCTCCAACAGGGCGTTAGAGTCTAGGCATTCCTGTGGGGCACGGGCTAATATCTCTATAATCATTGTGGCCATGAACATCTACTGCCATTCTTAACACCGGTTTCGCTGCGCTGAGCGGTGGCCGTCCCGTTTGTTGGATTCTACAGCTGGCTGGCGGAAAACGTTACCGGCCGCCCGTCCACCGCCCGCGGGCCGGACCGAGCGGTCCCGCTGACCCTACCTGACCTGAGCCCGGCGCGATATGGGACAGGCAGACGGGGGTTCGGCTCAGCGAAGGCAGCGCCCACTGGTGCTGGGGACTTTTTTAATAGACCTACTGTACACGCGGTTGTATACGCATACTGTCTGAAAAAAAATCACTGAGCTAGACACTTCTGAGTTCTGACTGCGCATTTCAGCACAACTGTGTGCGGAACTCCATCAGAACATTTGCTGTAGCCTGTAGGTATAGTGACATGTCAAACAGGCACATGTAAAACTGTACATGTAAAACAGGCACCTCTGGTAATGTGACAGTGGTTATCATTAGAAAAAGTGAGAACACAAAAACTTCCATTTTCATATGTAAGTAGCTAAAACATGTACTTACTATTGCTGGATGGGGATGAGTTGCTTGAAATCAAGTGCCGAAAACACGTAACACTAATTATTCTTTTTAGAACCAGACTGTATCAGGAAATTCATCTCTCTCTCTCCTCTCTCTCTCTCTCTTCCTTCCTCTCTCTCTCTCTCTCTCCTCTCTCTCTCTCTCTCCCTCTCGCTCTCTCTCTCTCTCTCTCTCTCCTATCTCTCTCTCTTCTCTCTCTCTCTTCTCTCTCTCTCTCTCCTCTCTCTCTCTCTCCTCTCTCTCTCATTTTGTTGTTGTTTCCATTGCTGTAAAAAAAATTAACGGCTCCCATTTAAATTCCAATGGTATGTCAGTATACGAATGTGTTATGCTCATAGCCGACCTCAACTTCGTCTCTTTAATAGTGATCGAGTCCCATTTCTACAATACCACGTGGAGTTAAATCGAAAGTAATGGCCGCTGGCAGAACACTAACTGAGTCAGTGTGGCCATGACCAAAACTTATGTTTCCATCTCAGTCCATTTTCTAAGTGATACTGTCCATAAATTCCACCCGCCAGATCAGAGACCGCTCCGCCCCCGACACAAACACCCTTCAGAACCAGCCAGCACCACTTGGACTGCCTACTTGGACGCAGCAGACCCTCCATGTGACCACCTCATCTTCTCCCGTCTCCGACCAGCTCTACCCGGCCCCGAATTCTACCCCTCCCTACCCCATCTGACTTTACCACCCCGTCTCCGACAGGGTCTACAAGAAGGTGGCCCCGAACAAACAAGATCGTGCTGTACGTGGAGAACCGTGAGGTGGTCATCAACGGGAGTAGCCCGCCGGTGATCCGCGGGGTGGTGATAGCCGACTCCGAGTACCTGCAGAGTCACAGCCTGTACGGACAGGGTGCTGGTGTTCCGCTACGGACGTGAGGACGAGGAGGTGAGGGAGAGGGAGAGGGAGATGGAGAGGGAGAGGGAGAGGGGAGGGAGAGGGAGAGGGAGAGGGAGAGGAGAGGGAGAGAGAGGGAGGGGGAGGGAGAGGGAGAGGGAGAGAGAGAGAGAGGGAGAGGGAGAGGGAGAGGGAGAGGGAGAGGGAGAGGGAGAGGGAGAGGGAGAGGGAGAGGGAGAGGGAGAGGGAGAGGGAGTGAGAGAGGGAGAGGCAGAGAGGGAGAGGGAGAGGGGGAGAGAGAGGAGAGAGAGAGGACTGGGGGAGGGGGATGAGAATGGGCGGATAGGAGTGACTGAAAAGGAGAGCAGAAAGGCATGAAGTGTGGAAAGATGGTACAAAAGACCGACAGATTGAGGAATGGTGAGCGGAAAAAGACGCAAAGGATGATGAAGACAGATACGAGATCTTGGATCGAGAAAGGCGAAAGCAAGCAAGAACGAAGAAGGTAGGTAAAAGACGAGGCTATGGAAAGACGAAAAGGGGCTGGGAGAAAAGGGGTTAGATTTGTGAGGATGATGAGGGAACTATTAGAGCTCACATAAAATAGAGGGTAGTATAAGACAATGAGTGATCTTATTTGTTTGATAGATACAGACGATGCCGAAAAGCAAGAGAAGTGAACGTGGCCCAAAGAATCAACAGAAGCAGAGCAGTCGCTTTTTTCACTCACCGCTCTCAGAAGCTTTAGGGCTCCAAGTTCAGTGAGCTCTACGTTTTACGGTGATCCAGAAAAGACCATCCAGCTGGCACACCTGTCTGTCAGGGAATAACCACTCGAGTACGGGCAGTGCTCCACAATGACAAGATCAATATCACCCTGCTCTATGTCGGCTACAATTACGGAGCCACCGTGACCTCACGTCTCGAATAGCTGGATCACTCTGGTCCGTATATACGCCGGTCACATGATCCGGGTAGGTACTGCCAGTGGCAACAGCAGTTGTCCTGTAAGGTGGAGGGAGGGGCAGCCACCACGTGACCCCGGTCTGCGTGCAGGTGACTCAGAGCGGGTAATTACCGTACCGAGACAGAAAGGCGATCGACCGGACTTGTTCCGCGAGATCGTAGCGTAATGCGTATGTAGGCGTCAGCTTCCTCTATCCTTTCGATATTGGCTTGCCTGGACGGCCGGAAACGGCAGAGGAGACGTGAGTGCGGCTCTCGGTACTGTTCGGGATTCGAGTTAGGTGGGGTTCGGGAGAAATTGGTTACGGAGCGAGCGAAGCGAGCGGAGTCTTACGTAAAACGGAAAATTTCTGAGTATGAGCGGCCGGCCGGGCCGGCCGGCCGTGGTCACGCTTTTGCGAGGCTTTATCTCAGCAACCACTTGACGATTTACATGCGGTAATTTTTGTGGGGTAGCTTCATTCCTTCTACCAAGTATTGGACTATTCCCGATGCATGTGGGTGACCCCTTATGCACGTGCCACGTGCAAAACGAAGAGGTGTCACTTTTGTAATTGTTGCAATATCTCGGTAACTACTTGGCCGATTGCGCTGAAAGTTGGCATGTAGGTAGGCACCCACTAGGCACTGCATATCCATGTGCCAGAGTTGGGGTGCTGCTGCACGTGCGCACGTGCAGGGGTCGTTTCCAGATCTCGAGAACGGCTGGACCGATGGCGCTCAAATTTGGTACATGGTTAGGGACCGGTTAGTAGGCTGCCGTGCAAAAGTCAGTTGGGACCCATTTTGCACGTGCGCACGTGCAGGGTGCCGCTTCCAGATCTCGAGAACGGCTGGGCCGATTGTGCTCAAATTTGGCACATCGCTAGAGACCGGTTAGTAGGGTGCCGTGCACAAGTCAGCTGGAGGTACCCCCTCGAAATTTCGCACGTGCAAGGCTCACCCTCTCGCTCGCTCCGTTAGTCGCCCCCAAAAGGCGCTATACTGGTTAAGTTGGGCTGTTTTGGTTGATCGAGGGTGCATGCAATAGGAGGGCGTGGTTATGGAGCGAGCGAAGCGAGCGTAGTCTTTCTTAGATTAACGGAAAATTTCTGGTATGAGCGCCGGCCGGCCGGGCCCGGCCGGCCGTGCGGACGCTTTTGCGAGGCTTATATCTCAGCAACACTTGACCGATTTACACGCGGTAATTTTTGTAGGGTAGCTTCATCCCTTCTACCAAGTATTGGACTATTCCCGATGCATGTGGGTGACCCTATGCACGTGCCACGTGCAAAACGAAAGAGGGTGTCACTTTTGTAATTTGCAATATCTCGGTAACTACTTGGCCGATTGCGCTGAAAGTGGCATGTAGGTAGGCACCCACTAGACACCGCATATCCATGTGCCAGAGTTGGGGTGCTGCTGCACGTGCGCACGTGCAGGGGTCGTTTCCAGATCTCGAGAACGGTGGACGATTGCGCTCAAATTTGGTACGGTTAGGGACCAGTTAGTAGGGTGCGTGCACAAGTCAGTTGGGACCCATTTTGCACGTGCGAACGTGCAGGGTGCCGCTTCCAGATCTCGAGAAACGGCTGGGCCGATTGTGCTCAAATTGGCACATCGCTAGAAACCGGTCAGTAGGGTGCCGTGCACAAGTCAGTTGGAGGTACCCCTCGAAATTTCGCACGTGCAAGTTCACCCCCTCGCTCGCTCCGTTAGTCGCCCCAAAAGGTGTTATACTGGTCATAAAGTTTGTGTGAACGGGGATTGTTAACAATTGATTCACTAGCTTGGTAAATGAACTGGACTACAGTCACCAAGGCCATGTCGTACACCGGTTAAGGACAACACATCTGAATCTATATGTAAACAATTATGAGTCATTATATTTTTATGCGCCTTTGACATACCACGCCCGGTGGCAGCAGTCGGTAACCTGACCGTACCGCTGAAGGCCGGTTCACATTATGTCCGACCAGGGTGGCCACAGTGGCCGGCAGACTGTGCCCCATTGGGGTAAGGGAGCACGGCGGGCCACTCGGGCCGAGCCGGATCAAAGGCACGGCCGCGAGCCGCTCTGAATGGAGCGATGGCGGGGTGAGATCCGTATCGGTCGACCGGCCGCGGACGCGGACAGTCTGCGGGGACAGCACTGAGGTGCCCCGCTGAACGGTAGCGAAATGTTAAAAAGAGTGACAGCAAAAGGGGAGGGTGGTTGAAAGGGTTGGTTGGCTTGAGTTAACTAAAAATACGTACATACATGGTACAGCTGTCCCTAGAATCATTTGGAGCTTTCCAATGTGCCTATTCTAAAAACAGTTATCTTGGACAAATGAATGTCATCTGTCGCGGACGTGGTCTTCTGAATGTCATGCTCCAAAGATCGTGAGTAGTTTTAATTCCAAAGGTATTTTGCCAATGCTGAATGGAAAACCACAACTGATAGGAAGGTATGTCAAAGTACAATGCCAATGAATATATCAACGAGTCTGAATCCGCACATGACGGTGCAAAAGAGCAGCCGTAAGTCATGAATGGTGAGGGACGCCTGAAGGTCGTCGGGCGTTGACATTTATCTGGAGTCGCTCTCCGAGTAGAGGAACAGGGAGGGGCGTGGCCGAGGCTCACCAAACCCATACCGACCGGATATATTAATGTACATATACTGGACGGTTGCTAAGGGAGAAGCCGACGCTGGCATATCACGTGACCGGGCCCGGTCACGTGCAGCATCGGCTTAACGACTTCCGACTATGTGCCGCGAAATTGCCGTTTCCTGGTCGTTTGAATCCGGATTCGAAGCAAATCCGGTTAAGAAGTGTCATGGAAACGGGGCTTATGTTGGCTCATCGCAGTGGGACTTGTGGTCCACCCGTGCCGCGGTTTGACGTTAGCTGTCTATCGGGCCACCGACTGAGGTGTGATTTGAGGACAGTGTCGACTGCCGCCAGCACGTCGTCTGACGCGTCCGTCAACCCGGCAGGTGATGGGGCTGACGTTCTCCAACATCATCATCCTGCAGACGCAGCAGCTGCACCCGATGAAGGAGTCCCCACAGACGGACGGGCCGCCGCGATCCACACTGCAGGTAACGACACATACCTACAATACATAAAATACAGAGCAATACATAAAATACATTGCAATCGCAGTTACAGTTCCGTCTCCGCAGATTGACAGGCCACCACGCTCCACTCTGCAGGCAATATAGCTGCCTACACACATACAAACAGCGCTGTCATAGGCGGGCTACACATCAGCATCAATCGCCGGGCTTAAGGACCGTCGCACTCTGTAACTGAAATGGATGAGCGCTACATTAGCCTGCAGGCTATTGTTCTTTCTCTGCGACCTTTGTATCAGTCTGTTTTTGTCCCATAACGCTGATATGCACCGCCAGCTAATGCACACATGACACCGCTAACAAAGATAACCGATAACCATGAGCTATTTATGATCGCGCGCGGAAAGCTGAAAGCTAACATTTATTCAGAAATCTCCGGCGCTGGCATCGATAAACACATTTTCCACAATTCTTTTGGCAGACATCCATTCTGCTTTCGCCTCCGTAATCCTGCACAGAGAATGCAAATAAAAGAACGCCGGAAATGGGAATTGCACATCTATTTATCAGAGATAGCAAATTACTCTGCAGATAACAAGAAGCATTTCATTATTTTTCGTCAGCGTTAGTAGCGGCTGCAGGGTCCGAACAGAGCTGCTCAGCCGGCGCTGTGACAGTGTCGGACGGAGGCTGACTGTGTGCCAGCCCTCCGTCCGAGAGGCCGTGTTTATCCCACGTTTGCCAATCCTCTTGTGTTGTTTCTCGGACGACTCTGGCCGTGGGCTGTCAGTCGCCGCCGCCGGACGCCTGGCCACCGTGGCTGTTTGCTTTCCTCTGTCGCACGCACTGACGCCGCCGCTTGGGCCAGTCGGTGGATTACCACCCGCGGGCTGTCAGGACGAGGCGGCGTGGGCGTAGAGCCTGCTTAGGTGTGCTGGCTGACGCAAAAGATCACGTTTGATCGTTTCGTCTGAGCACCCCACGCTGCCATACAGCGGAGAGACTCGTGCATTATTTATTCGAATGTCAAACTCTGCCTTTGTTGCATCATCGATTTGTTTTTGCTCAGCCTTTAAGACTTTATAACCTTGCATAGTTTATATGTGCCTGTTGTTTGTGTATTTTTATACATTCACGATTTATTATGTCCCGGCTAGTGCGTGCGTAAAAATGAATGAAATATAGACCTTTTTACTATACATATACATACATCAAACAATGAGGCTGACGGTAAATGCACAAGTGAAGTCGAAAAAACAGATAGAAAATAACTAAAAAAAAAAAACAATATTTGTGACGAGCGCATGAAAGTGGTATTTTGACGTTCAACTAAACCTACGCCAAATATGGAAGTTCAATATCTCCGTTACCTCTGAAACCACATCACATTCTTCAATCATCTCCCCTGCATTATATTAGCCACACCCTATCACTCGCCGCGTGTGACCCCGCTCATCCCCATGTTTCTGCAGAAGACGATCGAGCGCCACCTGTCTGCCTGCGGCGTGGCGCACGCGTTCCAGTTCCAGGTCTCCTCGTGCGCGCCGCCCTCGGTCTCGCTGTACCCGGCCAAATCGTACACCGGCGCGCCGCTCGGAACATCCTACGAGGTGCACTTCTTCGCAGGTGAGCTAGCGGAGCCGTTCGGCGTGGTTCCTAACGGATTTTGGATTCTTACTATGCATCTTGTTTATGCTATACAGCCACATTTTGTGTCGCACTATTTCTGAATAATTTTTATTGGATTTGTTTTGGAATGCTGCAAACATTTTTTTCACTATCGTTGTGAAGCGAACACGCAATAAAGTTTTGATATACAGGGTTACGTTGAAATGCTTTGAATAGATATAGCACGTTTCACAACAATGGAGTTGCACTTGCACGTACACTATTTCTTTTCTTGTCAGTGCTGCAGCTGCATGATAGCCTGCACAGGACGGTCACCGAAAAAAAGCGTACTTTTTCTTGGTCAGCATATTTTCTTTTTATCTGTCTCTGAACTACCTTCGAGGCAGCACATTCTGTCACTCATTTCTCTCTCACTCCCCTGCCTGCCAGACCGCTCGCTCGGGCACTCTGTGTCCCCCGGTATACCCCGCTCTGACCGCGCCCGGTGCCGCGCCGGTGGGTAGAGGCAGGCGGGGCGCCGCCTGCTGACACCCACCTGCTGCCCGCAGGCAAGGCGCAGTCGGAGAAGCCGCTACGGCGCGCCTCCGTGCGCATGACGGTGCGGCTGTGCCAGCTGCCGCCGCCCTCCTGCGGCCCGGCGCCGCGCAACGCCGTGCTGAAGCAGTTCCTGCTGAGCGGCGGCCGCGTCCACCTCGAGGTATCCCTCCAGAAGGAGGTGTTCGTGCAGGAGCAGAGCATCGCCTTCCGGGTGTTCGTCAACAACGGCTGCAAGAGAACCGTCCGGAAAATCAAGGTGAGCGGCCCGGCCAGAGGGGACGGTGAGCCGTCTTACGGCTGACTTCAGTTCTCTGGTGCTAGATGGTAAACGTGAGACTTTATGAAAATTACGGACTATGGTCTCTTACGTACTAGACGACGTTGCGGGACTAAATATAAGTCATATGCTACTTTCTCTGGTGTTGACAATCTCTGTAGTGTTCTATTTTGCTGACAATTATCAGAAGCAAAGATACAAGGCTATTTTCTGTTATACAGTCCCAGACACTCAAAACATACAATGGAATGCCAAATTAAAAAAGCGTTAAAAGCGTTAAAAGCTCAGTTAAAACATCAGAAACCAAAACAAATCAGCCGGCATTGTTTCGTCGTTCCCAGTACCTCAAAGGCTGCCGTCAGGGTCCGCTCTAAACATCGCCGATCCTTTATGCGGGCTGTTTGGACTGCTGCCTGGAGTGGCTCTCCCCGGGGCGGAATCGTGACAGGTTTGTCAGTTTTGACAGTCGCCACGGCGTCCAGAGCACAAAGTTAGCGGCTCACTATCCCGCCGGCATAGAAAACCATCAAATATTAGGCAGCTTGGGCCGGTAAGCGCGAAACAATAACGACTTCTAATCGGTTAACTTATTGCCCGTTGCTGATGACAGCGTGGAGAACAACGCTCCCCTTGGAATCTGGTGTCTTCCCATAGCTCAGAGGCAGCCGTCACCGGCAGCCGTATCGGCACTCGTTATTCCCCGTGAACCCGCCACCGACGACGGCTTCACGACACCACCCGGGACGGGGCCGGAGCGGCCGCCGGACGTCAATCTATCGACGCGGGCACCCGAGCCGGTCTTTTTCCGTCTGGTCAATTTCATAGATCATGCAACATGTGGCCCTCAGGAGCTCCAATACCCGTAGCGATCTAGATTTGATTTCGGATGTCTGTGACATCTTGTTTTCCGCATTTTCGAGATATTTCGCGTCTGCCGCGCTACAAGACACGCCATTGCTTAGTAATTTCTTCTCTCTGACGTTTCTTTTTCTGCGTTTCAGGCGGAGGTCGTCCAGGCAGTGGACGTCGCCATGTTCAAGTCCGGCAAGTTCAAGTCGGTCGTGGCCTCCGTGGAAACTACTGAGGGCTGTCCGGTGGTCACCGACGCCACCCTGGTGCGCGACTTCGAGCTGGAGCCGCGCGTTGGCTCCTTCAAGAACTGGATCGCACTGGAGGACAGCCCGGAGCGCGGCGGACGCCTCTCGCCCTCGGTGGTCGAGAGCGCCGTCGACTGGAGCAATTTCGCCGTGCACGTCTCCTACTACGTCAAGGTGAAGCTGCTGCTGTCGGGTGTCGGAGGCGGCGTCAGCGTGCGCGTGCCCTTCATCAGCGTCCGGGAGACGGCCGCCGAGCCGGAGACGGAGGCGGCCGAGAAGGCGCCCGACAAGGCGCCGCCGCCGGCCGCCGACTCCAACGGCGACACCCAGGAGATTGTGGCCGCCGACGTGCACGCTACGAAGGCGGAGGGTGCCGCGGACGCAGGGCACGAGCCGGCGCAGAACAATAACGTGCAGTTGGACGAGAACGGAAAGGTGTTTGTGCGGCAGGAGAGCTGTGCGCGGAGCAGTGACGTGTAGTGAGGGGGAGATGCGAGGGAGATGACGTACCGCGCGGCGGCGAGGACGCTGGGGACGCTGGACAGTGCTCGCAGTTGGACGCGAAGGAGAGCTGTGGACGTAACCACGATTCGTGTGCGCCCACGTGCGTTTGCGTGCATTTGAGTGCGTCCACGTATTTCACGTGCTTATCCGAGTGACAGTAGCCGTTGTCTGCCACGTCTGTTGGACGTGACAAGCTGTCGATCTCCCTCGCCCGACCGCCTCCGCCTAAATGCTGTCCGCCTGACCGTCTCGGGCGGGCCGTCTCTGGTCGCAGGGGATGAATGTACCTATATGTACAGGAACGCGGAACAGCTCAAAGGACTAGGCCCAGGGATGAAAAGCAATTAGTGTAAACAATGCGAGGTCATCCGATCTGCCGGACAGTGGATGGTCACCGTCAGATGTGAAGGCATGCATAAGTTGTTGAAACTTGATAGTTGTGTTGTGAGAGAATTCATTTTTTTTTTCTAATCTACGAAATCTTCCTGAAATGCGCTTACTTTCCACCGCATTGCACACAAAGCGTAAAGTACAGGTTTAATGATCTATGCGTAGGTTCCTACAATAGTTTCTTTTCGCGAAGTCGAATTTGGCACCATCTTGGATCTCGAATTAGGGACCGTGACCTGGGGTGCCAGAGGTTTTTAAGTTACGTATCATCGTCCATTTAACCGTTAATCTCATGCTGTTTTGCTATTTGTAACACTACTTACCGAACCATTGATCAAATAATAATTATACATGCTTATATGACGCGAATTAAAGCTGGGCCACGCTACTGACAATATGAAATGTGCTGACCGCCTTCCTTCTGTTTACGTGTCTCCGTTTCGCTAAACATTCTTTGTTTTGTCTGCTCGCACCAGAAACTATTTTATACTTGCAGAGACTAGGGTACTCATGAATGTATGTGTGTTCTGCCCCTCACTCTGGTCAGATCACTAGCAGGGCTGACCGGGTTGTTGTTCACTATTCCGAAAAAAGTGCGTGAGTGTATGCGATCGGCGCGTGATTTCCGCGTTTCATGAGTCTGTATGAGCTGTCCAGAATCACACCCATGTCGCCATATCATTCGGCACCATTCAGTGAATGTTTGATGTCTGCAATATTAATACATTTTTGCACTACCGCTGAGGAATATTCCATTCAAGGGCCAGTAAAACCTTCCTGGATTAAAAAGAAAATCGCTCTGTTTCCAATTTGAACTCGTTTCATGCGGCACATTAGAGATAACAGTAGACGCAGTAGACATACCATAGACAATCGCTAAATTTGTGTAACGTTTTGCATGATCTTATAACACTCGTTCCCTTGTCTATTATTTTCTCATTTTGTTCGAGCTACCACCGAGACCCGGGCGCCCAGCCATGCAGCCCGCGGCGTTTTCATCAGGACGGCTCGGGACCACGCGCCCCGAGGCCCGAGGCGATATTCAGAACACGTGACCACGTGACCGGAGCCGGTGTCGCATTGGTGGAGCAGCGGATAGCGTGAAGCTGGTGACTTTCGTCCCTCGTAATATCAAATGGAAAGCACATACAATCCAACAGACTAGTGGTGGGATTAAGGAGCAATCTGAGCTTTCGCGTTGCTGGGAGAGCCACTACTTTGATGTTCGGTTAAAAAAAAATCAAGGCTTTAGGTGAAATTATCATTCTATGTAAACTTCTCTTTCATGTCTAAAATCAAGCGATAGATGATTAACTTCTCTGTAATCAAATATCCTGACCCGTGACTGAATTTCCTTTAGATCAAAATTGTTGTAGAGTCATAATTGTATGAAAGGCGGCACAAAATAAACATTTGTTTTTGAATATATAGAAAGCACACGAACCTACTGCAAATGCCGGAGGACACAATACATTATTCCTTAGTTAGCTCCTGAAATGAAGTGAGACTGTAGCTCAGCTTTAAATCCAATCTTGGGAGAGATGTCACCGAAGCAGTTTAACTTTCATTCCTAAATTCATTTTAATCTCCACTCAGCTGTGAGCTCACCCAATATTTAGCATTTGAGTGCTCTACTCCGTCCGTTCTTACCTACATACCGATAAGGATATCTATTCCATGGAAAGCTCAAGACGTAGTTCAGAGTAAGCTGCATTTCATGCATCACGAAGCAGACCTATATCACGCTCTAAGGAGGCGGCTGGAGTTCCGTCTCCATTTCAGCACGGAAACGTGATGTTGAGTTATATCTCGCAGTCCATTTCAAAGGTATTGTGGCGCGACTCTTAAGCTGGCGCCAACGTCCACATATATGTCAGTGCAATTTATTTTTCTTAAAAACGTGGACCTAAGAGCAAACGCAAAGAGCAAAACGTTAGAACTATAACACAATCTAATGACAATAGATCAAAATGAAAAATGTGGACTTAGACCACGAATAAGTTTTGAGATCGATGGATTGTGTCTCGGTACTCGGTCGCACAAAAATTGCGTCAAATAAGAAGGAATCTTACGGAATAGAGTGCGGTGTTCAGATTTCCATTTCTTTCATCCATCTTTGTCTATTGTGAGCTGCCTGCCGTCGGCCACTGTTTATCACTCGTGAGGCGTCTGTGACGGTCCAGGTAATGGCCTATTGTTGGGCCATTTTCCACACGCTGCGTGCTTTATGGCGGCACCGTATCTCCGTTCTGTGCTCTCCGGTCCGAGCGGGTTGGGCCCCCCGCCGGCGGCGCCGCTCCATCCTTTCACCTTGGCCACTGGCCGCAGATGACATCGAATTCCTGGGTCCCCACCGTGACAATAGCGCCGTCCGACAGGTGCTCTGCCGACCCGACCCGGCGGCCAGCCTGGCCCTGTGCTGGCCGGGAGCCGTCGCGGAAGGGGTGTACTAATGGCTGCGGTCCTAATTAATCTCTAATGACGCCGGGCCGGGCGGGGCGGGGGGAACACGATTACTCTCAAATCCGACATTTTTGCGCCCCCATGCAACACGATGCGCTCAAATCCGACAGCGCTATGAATCGACTGTCGGGGCGAAATTGCACATGGAGATTGCGCTGTTTCTGGACATTTGATAAAAACGTGATTTTATCGAAAACCAATGCCAAAGTATACGTGAAAATGGCATAAAACGGGTAAATGAGGTAGGCCGATTCATTATGTATGACTTTGATTCGACAATTAAGTAAGCTTTCTGCAAAATGCGCTGTTTTGTAAATGACTGCTGAATTGCTCCACAACTCGACTTTTGGATGTAATTTTGCGCCAAGATCCGACCCTTTCGAATCAGTGCTTAGTGGTCGTGAAAAATTTCATTTGACTTGTATTTCTTTAAAAATGAACGTATAAAGGAATGTTAAAAACAGAAATGTACAGTTTTTTGCGCTCTTTAATGTGATGTGCGTTTATAACCAATTGGTATTATGTAAAATCCATTATTTGCAAAAATAAATTTCGAGGAACGACTTGGCCTTCACGGTCAAGTGAGATCTATAGTAAGTACCTAGGCATTCATCACGAAATCATGACTTTTCAATTTCTTAAAAACTGATCCAAACAAAAATCGAAGTGTTGGAACTTGTTAATTGCAGTGCAAGGATCACGATTATGGTATTTTTATCTTTGGCCGTTCGATATTTTCGCCAATATCTTTGATTTTAAATATTTCACAAGTCAACGACGAGCGCAATATTCAATTTTTGCGCCAGGGCAGAACACCAGCATGTCAATTGCAGGCGCATTGCGCTATTTTTTGACGACTGGCTGGCGGATCTGGGCGCACTGGACATAATGCGCTTCAAATCAACTCCCGATGAAGGGAAAACTTGAATTTGGCAACACCAGCATGTCAATTCCAGGCGCATTGCGCTATTTTTTGACAACTGGCTTGCGGATTTGGGCGCACTGGACATAATGCCAGGGGCGGTCGCAGACTTGGCGTTGTTTGGGGGGGGCAACTTGGAAAAGGGGCCCCTGCACTGACCTGGGGGACCCGGTGCTAGCTTAAAGGGGCCCACGGGCGTAGTGCATGGGGGCAGAAATCTAGCCATGGGCGGTGAAGGGGGGGGGGGGGGTAGGGAGCGGCATCCGAGCGGAGGCTCATTGCCAGCTTTGAGCGTGTACCATGTCGAAAAGGTAAGTTCATTTTGAAGCATAGGTGTAATGTCAATAATTCACGCAACTGTGAATTGACTACCGGCTACCGCAAAAAGTAAAACCGGCTAACTTAGCCATTTTCGAAGATATCGTGCTAAAACTTTTGACAGTGGGTCATCGGTATGTGTTCAATCACATGAGTTCCGTTTCTTATTTTTTACTTGAGCACAAATGTAAGTTATGAAGACCATCACAGTAGCAAATGCATCGAAAGATGGATAGTAGTGGGCAAAATATCCTTAATTTGTCGTGCTGCATCGAAAGTAGTGTTGATGAGAAAAGGGGTTTTTATTCCAGATTATCGTGGGTGCAGAATACATTGTCTGCACCCACTGGAGAATTATTGTTGGTGCAACTGCACCCACTGCACCCATGGCTCCTACACTTATAGGCCCATGGATAACGCTTCGGCGATACCTATCGCATAGAGGCTGCAATGTGGCCCTTAGAGTACAGTGTCAGACCCCCAGAGGCCGGATTTGGACCCAAGGGTCAGCGAAGGGCCTCAAAGGCCCCAGAGGCTGATGTGGGCCCTCAGAGGCAAGTGCGTGACGCCCAAAGGAAAGTCTTGGACCCCATAGAACATAATAGGGCCATCAGTTGCTGGTGTAGAGACCTCATAGGCCAGTTGGGGGCATATAGATGCCAGTTTTGGGCACCTCAGAGGCTAGTGTGGGGCCTCAGATGTCGGTGTGAGGCCCTTGAAGACCGGTATGGGTCCTCAGAAGCCGGCATCGATCCTTCAGAAGCCAGTACGGGGCCCTCAGAGGCACATAAGGGTCAGTTTGGGTCCCAGAGACAGAAATGGGACCATCAGAGGCCGGTGTGGAGCCTTTAGAGGCCGGTTTGGGCCCTTAGAGGCCAGTTTAGGGCCATCAGACACCAGTACAGGGCCTGCAAAGGGCAGTTTGAGACCATCAGAGAACCGACTTGGGCACTCAGATGCTAAGGTGGGTCCTTACAGGCCAGCATGGGGCCCTCAGAGGTTAGCGTGGGGCCCTAAAAGACCGGTATGGGTCGGCGTTGGACCCCAGAGGCAGCCTCAAAGGCCAAAGATGGGCCCTCAAAGGTGATGCGGGCCCTTAGAGGCCGGCATCGGGTCTTCATAATCCAGTGCAGGGCCCATAGAGGCTAATATGTGTCCTTACAAGCCAGCATAGGACCCTCAGAGGTCAGTGTGGGGCCCTAAAAGACCGGCATGGGCTGGCGTTGGACCCCAGAGGCCAGCGGAGGGCCCTTAACCCATTAATGCCGGAATTTTTATTTTTTGATTCTTAAGTTGCCCTTAACAAATGTTAGCCACACGGGTCCAAGTAAGAAAACTGTGCAAGCTTAAAAAAATTATTCCATCGGTTCTCAAGTTATAAGCATGGGTCATAAATGACCCAACCGGCATTAGTATAGTCACAAATAAGGAGTTATCACGAAAACCGATTTAGCTAGATACCTTATTGTGTATGCTGTATAGCGGTCTCAGCCAAACAATATTAAGAGGCACTGCATTGCAATGCTTTGCAACGTCAAATTGGCGAGGCCGTTGGTGCCGGTGGCAGGCCTGTGGTGCCCCTGTTAGGCCTCTGGTGCTCCTGACACTGTCAGGGGCACCATAGGCCTGAGAGGCCTGTGGTGTCCCTGGGCCCTGACAAGCCTGAGGTACCCCTGACAGGCTTGTGGAGCCCCTGACAGGCCTGCAGTGCCATTGCTAGGCCTGTGGTGCCCCTGGAGGCCTGCGGTGCCCCTGCTAGGCCGCTGGTGCCCCTGGGTCCTGGCAGGACTGTGGTGCCCCTGACAAGCCCGAAGTGCTCCCGACAGGCCCGTGGAGCCCTTACAGGCCCAAGGTGCCCGTGCGAGGCTGATGGTGCCCCTGTGAGGTCGATGGTGCCCCTGGCAGGTTCCTGGTGCCCCTGGCAGGTCTGTGGTGCCCCCTGGCAGACCTGTGGTGCTCTTGCTAAGCCGATGGTGCTCCTGCAGGCCTGTGGTGCCCCTAACAAGCCTGTGGTACCCCTGACAGGCCCG